ATTTGGTAATATTATTTGCATGCTAAACATGTTGAGTGCTCACCACTGGAACAATCTATGCCATTGGATTGACATGGTTTGAGGGCCGAGATCAATTGGATCTGCTCATTTGGGAATTTTTATATATGATGATGATGATGATTGATGATGATGGCGAAGAAGATTGATGATTGATGAAAATGAAAATGATGTCTAACCTCTGATTGGTTTGATGCAAAAAAAATGACATTTCAATATTTTATAATTTTACCATCCTAACATAAAGTTATCAACTATTGGCAAGTATTGCCGTTGCCAACACGTTGGCTAACAAATTTTGGTAGTGAATCAATTACGCTGGTCGTATTTGAGTCAACACACAAATGCACATCGCTGTGCGAAATATTCGCATGACATTTTCGGGCCACACATATGCTCGCACACAGCTATATACCCCTTTTTTCAAACCGAGAGAAAAAAGGGAAGACATCATATTGATTTCGCCCATTTATTTACAGCGTATATAAATATGCGTACACGATTAGTTGTTTACAACAGTTCATTGCGGCATAGCATCATCCCTAGCTAGCTCTTCTGCTAGATTGTGTCACTGTTGATCATATTGGTAGTACTACCAACCATGATATGGGTAGGTTTTGTTCATGATCAGCTCAATCAAAAGTACAAATTCATTCATGTGTAGATTTTATTCTGATCTACCCGCAAAAAAAAAAGATTTTATTCTGATCAGCTGTATATGTTATCTTGAAAACGGCAGGGACGTGTCTCCTTCTTCGTGCTCCTCCTCCTCCTTGTGTCAATGGTCACAGTTAGATCACATCGGAACACCGTAACCTTGACCTATGTATGATTCTGAATTTGTCATCATGTATGTATGTTGACCATCAGATTTAGGTAGCTAATATTTTTCTTGTTTGCACGCCGAAAGGCGTTCGAGGAGACATGGAAAATAGCCTCTTGCAGTCGTTGTCATCCGCGCACTGCAACAATCTACGGATGACCAACATACGTCTCAAGGACAACACCGACAAGAACATGATCCTGTACGATTGCAGGCAGGTGCAGGTGCACAACGTCTCCATCACGTCGCCTAGCGACAGCCCCAACACCGATGGGATCAACATGGGCTCCTCCAACCATGTAAACATCTCGTCTTGCTCTATGCACACCGGTATGTACAGATCGACGACCCCCTCCTTCCTTCAGATAGTATATATTGCACTTTGTCTGGCCTCGAATATGCACCACCGATGAGTGAGTGCAGGTGATGATTGTGTGTCGATTCTATTGGGAACTACCGATGTTAACATCACTAACACCACCTGCGGGCCTGGCCATGGCATCAGGTATACATACATACATACATACATACATACATACATATAATATATTTTTTGCGGGTGTATTTTTTACCTTATTATCTATGTATGTATGTATTTTTATGTATGTAAGTGTGGGAAGCCTTAGAGGTGCTAGTGACGGCCCAGCGCTGGTGGAAAGAATTACAGTATCCAACTGTAGCTTCTTCAATAGGACGGCCGGTGTGAGGATCAAATCGTGGCAGGCAACATGCATCTAGTAGTACGTACATGTGTTTAAAGATATTTACATGTGTTTAAAGATATTTACTGATGGTGGCATGCATACACATGCATGTTCCATATACATATCATACATAGGTTACCTACAAACCATATATAG